TGTGCTGTCTCCAGGCTCAGCTTCCTAAGGACACAAGGTGGCAAGTTCCTGCCACCACTTCCCTACTCCAGGTGTGGATGGAGGACGCTCTCTTTTGGTGTTGATGTTGATGGAGGAGGCTTTTTTTTTCTTTTCTTTTCTTTTGGATAGGGTCTCTTGTTTTTGCCTGGGTTGGCCTTGGACTGCCAAGTAGCTGGGATAGTAGGCATGTATCACCACACCCAGCTTGTTTGTTGAGATAGGGCATCTTTAATTTTTTTCCCCCCTGGCTGGCCTCCAACTGCAATCCTCTGATCTCTGCCTTCTGAGTAGCTGGGATTATAGCCTTCATCACCATGCTAGGCCAAGGAGACTCACTTCTAAGGTACTACACCCAGTTCTCTCTCTGTTTTATCTTGTCCCCTCTACTCTTTTCTCAAGGCCCTACAGGCCAAGAGCTGTGCCTTTCCAGCAGAGGATCAGTTGAATTATGTCTCTTCACCTGGAACAGGCTTCCCAGCTTGTTGCCAAACAATCACCAGAGTATTGGTCGAAATGTACCTGATTCGGTGTGTCTGGGGCAGGGCCTGGGATGCTGCATCCTAAGGGGTTTCCCAGCCCCTGCTGATCATGCTGGTCCACAGACTCCATGCCAAGGAACAAGGATTTAGCAATCCTGGTTGCACATTAGAATCAACTGAGAACATTTAAAGATAGCAAGTCACCTCTGGACACCATTGTAGGGCAATTAAATCAGACCCTAGGCTTTGGATCTTTTAATTTTTGCACTGAGTTAGAGTCTAGATAATTTACAGGCCACCCAAGTGAAGGAAGCTTAGAAAGCTTAACCAGTCACCTGCTAAACTGGGATTAGGAACAGACATGGCCGGGAAGTGGACTTTGGAATCAGAGCTGCTCCCCACTTACCTCCTGAGATGTCAGTTGTCTCTGGCTCTAGCCTGTCTTTGGACTGGTGTTGGTACCTGTGAGATGTCAATTGAGGAGCACGCAAGATTTTCCATCTTTTCCACCCTATTCCTGCCTGAAACTTTACTATTAGTCCTTCATTACTTGGGCTAAAGCTGTCATATGATCCCCATTACATGGTGTTTAGTAGCTGGTAGCTGAGCGGAACCCCATAACTGGCACTGGGCTGTGTGCTGTGAGAGGGCTCTAGACCACAACATGCATCCTCTAGTCACTTTGGAGGGACACTCAGCACAGAGTGGCATGCCCTTCTAAGTTCCTGGGCAAGGCTACTGACCTGGCAGTGGAGGTCGCAAGCAGTGGTCAAGGAAGGAGGAAGGCAGAATGGCTCCAGGCGTGTGTCCAAGGAAAGCCGTGACCTTCCCACTGTGGCATGTGGTTGTGGCCTATGGTACTCTTCCTCAGGGCAGGTGCAGCAGCTGGCCAGGCCCAGACTGGCTGCTGCTGAGCTCCACCGGCCTGTCTCACCCCACCAAGCTTCTGGGGCGCTACAGCTCAGCAGGGAGTAGGAGCTGGACCTTCGAAAGCTGGGATGGTGGTAGCCATTTTGTAATAACAAGGCTGAAAGTCATAGGATGAGGACAAAAACTGTGTACTATAAGAACGACAGAGCAAGGAGTAGCCCGAGTCCTCTGTGACTTCAAGGCAGTTTTATCAGCCACAGATGGTACAGAAGAAACATAATCCTCTATTTGACTAAGCCACTGGGCTGGGTTTCTTTTATAGCCGAATGCAATCATCAAACTCAGGTCGTCCAGAAGAATGTTTCTAGACCAAATGGGAAGGGAAAGTTGCAAGGACATGGTTCCAGAAGTTACAGGGGACAGAGGCTTTTATCCCTCTCCCCTCTTTGGTCACTCCTCCACTCTATAAGTTTCAGTGATTCTCTGTTTCCCTAGGGATTAAGTTCCTATCCCCCAGACGAGCATTCAAAATTCAATAAAAGCAGGCCCCAAGCCAATTTTCCAGGCTTGTTGCTTTTTTCGGGGGCAGCATTGGGGTTTAAACTTGGGGCCTCTTTCTTGCTAAGCAGATACTTTTACTGCTTGAGCCACTCTGCCAGCCCTTTTTTGTGACAGGATTTTTTGAGATAGGGTCTCACAAACTATTTGCCCAGGCTGGCTTCAAACCATGATCCTCCTGATCTCTGTTTCTGAAGTAGCTAGGATTACAGAGGTGAGCTGTGGCACCCAGCACCTGATGCTCTTTACACCAGTCACCAAAGCAAGGATGCCTTTTCTTCTGCATGGGCTCTGTGCTCCCTCCCTGATCTTAGTTCATGTAGGTTATCTTCCTCACTTCCACGGGCCTTCTGGAGAAGCCTTCCCTGTCACCCTTGGGTCCAGGGAACTCCTTCCACCAACTGCTTCATAACTGAGGTCTATATAGTGGTAGCTCTTTTAAATTTTCATATGCATTTATCTCACCTTCCTAGCAAGGTTGTGAGATTCTCCAAGTCAGAACGAGGGAACATGGAAAGAGCATTACTTTGGAACACTCTCTGAACCTCGGTGTCCTCCTCTGTAAAATGCTACTAATGTAAATTTCTCTCTCCCAGGGTTTAGGCAAAGATCACCTCCCTAAGCATTGAATGGAGTGGCTGGCACACTGGAGGTGCTCAAGAAGTGCTCGAACGTTGAGTTATCATCTGGCTGGTCACCGTTTAGCTGTGCCTTTTTCTATCCTTTGTAGCCTGCTCTTTTCTGATTTTCTGCTTTGCATTTCAATCAGAGATGTATATTAATTTTAGGAAAATGGTTCTTATTTTCCTAAAGAGTAGAGCTTAGACTCCTAGCTTTAGACTTCAAACGCAATAGAAGGAATAGTGGGGGAGAGTTCATGTGCACAGAGAAGGGTGTGAGAGGCCATGCTTCCCTAATTACTCAGGAGAGTTAACTAAATCTTTCTCTGAAGGGTTTTAAGGAAAATGAAAATATTGAAGTCTAGTTTTACTTGGTAATGGGGGAGATTGGCTAAATGGTCTTAAAGCACTTGGGCTTTTGTGTTTTTACAAATGACAACTTCTCTCTGCTATGACCAGGGGAACAGGTGGGCCCTAAGCTTTTTGTCATTCTGATCTTTTTCTCTCACCTAAATCTTATACCAAATACTTGGATCAAATAATTGTGGGACGTGACCCATTGCAAAAAGTCCTATCTTAGAAAATTTAATGAGAAATGACAGTTTTAGCACTTCCAAGATAAGTAGCTGTCACACACAGCTATAAGTGGGGGTGGATGCATTGAATTGGATGGCAAATGAGAAGTCACCACAGACTTAAATGGCATGCTAATGTGTACTGACAGTGAAGTCCCAAGACGGTCTTCTTCGCTTCACAAGGTTTCAGTGAGCCATACTGAGAGAGCCCAGCCAGCCAGAAACTTGGTTTCATGTTTCTTAAGGCAAAACCCTATGCTATAGGGAAGAGGAGGAGCCAGCAAATACAGACTTTGCTGAGTGGGACTGGACATACCTGTGCAATCACCACACCAAGCCTCCTGTGCCATGGCTGGCCAGCCATCTCTGTCAGCCTGGGCTGGTGGGACCAGAGCATCTGACAGTCTGCAAGGCAGCATGTGTTGGAAAGAGGGCTGGGAACAGCCAGTGGGAGAGTCAAACTCCTTTTCTTTGTTGCACACTTGTGGGGCAGCTTCATTTTGTCCTGTTGTGAGCCCTTTAGTGTTCAGTCTGTTCTGTTTGGTTGTTCCTACATATTTATTTGGAGGGTCGTGAACATCTGTTATGGACAAACTATTTGTTTTACTCTGTGTAGGTCAGTATATTTGTTTCTGGGTTAGCTTTTCTGCTTTTTGGTGAATCTGAGTGCTTGGGTGGGTAGGTGGGCATGGGAGAGGGGTGTGTGTGCGTGTGTATGCGCTTGAGGATTGGGTTATGTGTATCTGGTTTTTGTTGATGCTATTTGTTTCCTCCTCCCAGTTTTCCAGTAGAGCAGCATTGGTGACTTCCTTCAAGCCTAATCGGGTGTTTAATTCTAACTTTTTCTATCCCTTGGGAGTGTGTCCCTGTTTTGCCATCTGCCTTTCCAAGAGATGCTCTGCTGCTTCACAATAGGGATATCCCTTCCCACCAGGTTCTCAGAAGGCTGCCCTGAGCTCCCTGGCATCAGTGTCTCTCCTTTTAAGCAGATGTCTGAGGACAGGCTCCAAGCCCGCATGGCAGGCTGAGTACTGTTCTGCTCAGGCCCGGTGCTAAGTGGGCCTTGCCAATGACCTGGTGATATTCTGTCTTGGTTGCGTAGCAGCAAAGAGCTCAGGACCCTGGGCTCCTATGGGAGGTTTTTTTTTTTTTTTTTTTTTTGCTACTGTAAAGAGGTTACCACAAACTTAGTGGCTTAACACAACACAGATTAATTATTTTATAGTTCTGGAGGTCAGAGGTCTAAAATAGGTTGGCAGGGCTGGCTCCTCCTGGAGGGTCTAGAAGATAATCCATATTCTTGCCTTTTCCGGCCTCTAGAAACTGCCACATTTCTTGACTTGTGGCCCCACATCACCGGCCCTGGAGGATCACTTCCCCTTTCTTTCACCTTCTCTCTCTCTCTCTCTTTTTAAATCAGAACACCCTAAGTTATTACATTGTTCCAGGATCAGATCTCCATCTCATGGTCCTTAACCATGTCTCAAGGTCTCCTTTGCCATGAAGGTCAAACACTCATGATTCTGGGAATTGGGGCATGGCCGTTTTGTGGAGAGGTGAGCTATCATTAAACCTACCACAGGCTCCCACATCTCAGAGAAAATCTATGACAGTGAGGTGAGTAGACACGGGGAACTCGAGCCAGCTTGGTCACGGTGTGTCTATGATTCTGGAAAGCCTTCTAAACCCTTCCTCCCCACAGAGACATCCTTAACCCACTAACTTCTGATAAAGCTTGGTTGCCCAGTGAGAAGAGACTGAGGACAAGGGAACTGAATGTTTTTGTTTCTTTATACTCAGGTATCAATGGCTGGCAGCTGCAGCTTTCCTAAGAACAGACTCCACAGGAGGGAGGCCCAGCATGGGGGCAGGGGAAGTCAGGGAGGTTCACATCCTAATGACACCACCATGGGGATTTCCAGTGATGGAGAGAGCAGAGGCACTTGGAAGTAGGACCACAAAGTTTTAATCAAACACAGCAAAATGGCCGCAATGCAGAACAGGTAGTGCTTGGAGAAGAGAAAGAAGACCATCTCCTTGGTGACATAGATTATGTGTACAAAGATGAAGCAGTACAGGAACATGGCAAACTGGTTCTGGGGGAGCAGGAGGTCCTGGAGGCCTCCTGAGAACTGTGGGAGGAAAGAAGACAGCAGTGCTGGCAATACCAAGGCTGGCAGCATGCAGGTCTGGATTTAATCCTGCTCTGTCCATTCCTGAATCTGACTTTGGACAGGTTAGTATCCTTATCTAAGGAAAGAATAATACTGACCACTTCCTGAGATCATGAGGAAGAAGAAAGAGAAAGTGAATGGAAAAAATTCCTAGTAAGGTCACTGACACATAGTAGAAATTCACTAGTTTTTAAATCTTGAGCTTGCTAACCAGGACATCAGGACAATACTTTCCTTTCTCTTTATATCCCATTCTGCCTATGGAGTTACACATGTCAACAATTCTCTCTGACCCCAAGATCCCCAGATCTGGACTCGGGTCTTGGGATTGCTCTCTGGACATTGCACCCTGACCCTCAACCTAGTTCTCTGGACTGTGGCACAATGAGCACAAATCAGTGTTTTTGACTTCCAGGTACATGTCATTTGGATCAGTCCATTTTTTGTCTTGGTATACTGGGGTTTGAACTCAGAGGCTTGTGCTTGCTAGGAAGGCATTCTACCACTTTACCACATAAGTCATTAGTCTATGGTTCTGTAATCTAGGATTTGGTCTTTCCTGTGTGTAGGTGCCAAGAGATGAGTGATAGCGCACCCTAAACCCATGGAGCACTGGGCTTGGGAGAAAGCAGTTTGAATGGTCTGGTCGATTCTATCTGTGATTTGTTCTTTTCTGGAATAATTTATATAACTGGGATCTGACAGACTTAACTTTAACTGTAGAAAGCATCAATATATAAATGAAGCAAAAGCTGATATAAGTCTTGATCATAGTTAAGAAAGTATTAGCCATAGTTTATTCTTTAAATACTTAAAAAAATCATGCCACATTTTAAAAAACAGCCAGATGGCAGGGACTAAAATGCCCTAAACTAGCAAGATATCTACCCAGAGAGGTATTTTCAGAACAATGAAATCTATCCATCCACCCTCCCCCTTCCCATCACCCAGAAAAAGAGAAGCGGTGGAGCTCCAACGTCAAGTCAGCCCACTGCTTTTTAGTAAATGCACAAGAAGTAAAACACTTGTAAACTATGACCAAAGATCTTTCACCGTTGCTGAAATAGCTACACAAAATGCGAAGGCAACTAAATAAAATTAAAAGGGACAGAAAATGATTCCGGCAGTGCTGCCTCTAAAATGAATAGCAAGGAAGGTTGGAGAGTAGAGAAATAACCCAGTGTTCTTCTAGGAGTGGAACAGGGCTCTGCAGACTATGGCTCAAGCTTCTGCCGCCTCTCTTCAATCTACGTGTTTCAGTCTGAGATGGTGATGAGGGGACAGTTATGACTTTGATATCAAAACATGCATTTGTAAAACCCTTTAGACTTTTTCAAAAACACTTTTGATGGTCTATCTTTTGAGCAGAAGGTGAGGCTATATGCCAAGGGTTTCTATCTCATTGCAAGGAGAAAAAAAATTCAAACTTCCCAAGGTCTTTCTCATGATCTTGGGAAGTGAGCACTATTACCTTTCCTTGGGCTAATAAACTGTCCAAAGTTACGTTCAGGAAGGGACAGGGCAGGGTGAAATCCAGAGACACAGATCAAAGGCATGATGCAATACCGTACTTGCTTTAAATATTTTCAGGCTCAAATTTGTGACCAATTTTATTCCACAACACAGAGAAAATCCACATGTTTGGGAAATGAAGTTTATAAGAATTCAAAAATATCAGGAAATGTAACAGAATCTTAGAGACAAGCAAATATATTCTAGATGTTCAAAAAGAGGGAGAAAAAAGGATTTTTTCAATCTTATTGAAAAATAAGATTGGCTTGGCTCAGTGACATTATTTAATGTATAATTAAGCTGTTATTTCATGGCAAGTGAAAAAGATAATTGTTAGTAAGACAGCAGGTGTTCATTGAGAACAAATCATGTAAAACTAAGCCTATATTTTTAAGAAAAAATTGGCTGGTTAGTTAGAGAAATGTTACTATAATATCTTACTTCTGGGAAACCACTTGACAGTAGGTCTGGGGATAGTTTTGGGGTTTTTTTGGCCAAGCTGGAGAAATGTGAGCTGGATAAAAGGTAACTCTAGCATGTTGATTAATGGAACATTGCTAACCTATAATGAGATCTTTTAGTAGTGTTTACTTTAGGGTACTGTCTTCCTCAACAATTATAGCAATGACTTGAATAAAGACAGAAGGCCAGCTTCTCAGAATTGAGGATGAATCAGAGATGGGAAGCATAGCTAATACATTACATCCCAATAAAATTGAAAAGTGATGAATGTAAATTGCTGCATTTGGGTCAAGAAGTGAATTGCATGAGTACATAAAAATGGTAATATCTAACATTTATTGAGTGCTTACCTAATGTACTGGACTCATGGCAAAGTGCCTTACATGCATTCATTCTCCCATTGAATCCTCATAAGGACCCTAGGAGGTAGGTATTACCTACCAAGGATACCAAAGAGGATTAAGAACTTGCTTAAGGGTAAGGTAAGCAGCTTATATGAATGGTAGAGCCAGGATTTTAATCCAGCACTGTCTGATTTCAAAGCCCAGGAAACACTGTTTTGAACAGTATCATCTTTCATTAATGAGTGCTTATGATGGTCTGGCCACTGTGCTAAGCACTTCACACCCATTTCATCTCAAGTGGGCATCCTTATCCCCATTTAGTACTGGCAAGGGCTGAGTGTACATTTCTTGTGAAGAGAAGGCTGCTTCAGTTGGTACACCAGAAAAAAAGGCAGTTCTGAGCAGGAACCTGTAGTTCTATCAACATCACTGGCACCCCTGCAGGGCTTGCTGGGTCTCCCAGCATCCCATTTTATGAGATGCAAAGAGGAATGAATGGGGAAATCCAGTCATAGAGGGAGTGTTGAATACTGCTTCCTTAAGCTATCAAAAGGGCTATTGGGTGGACGGTGTGGTTCTAGCTCCCTCCTAGCCTCACCTCTCTCTAGAGTGGGATCTTCACTTAACATAAAGCTCTAAGCTCCTTCTGTGGGGTAGAAGTCTCAACCCATTCTGAGAAGTGACCCAAGGCAGCAGGGGCTGGGGATGGCTGCCTGGACGCTCAACCCCTCTCTGCCAGAAGGTAGATGTACAGCCAAGCAGGTAAGGTGGGCTTACTTCTGCCCTGGCCTGCAGGACCAACTACTGCTCTCTTCTTACCCCCCTCAAGTCTGGAACTCCTGGCACAGTGCCCCACCCCCATACCTACCTGGCGGGGGCCCGCCTGTTGCTGCAGCTGCTCCATCACCTCCTCATGTTGCCGCTGCCTCTCGTTCTCCTCGTGCAGGTACTTTAGCCGTGTCAGCTCAAACTCCATGCGTACCTTCTCCAGTTCCATCGCATTGTTGCATTCTGTCCCGGAGGTGGGGGGCAGCTCCGGAGATTCAGGTCCGGGTCCGTCGCCTGCCTGGCCCTTGGTGGTGGGACCAGCCTTCGGGGATGGTGAGTTAGGGGGGCCGTGGCAGCTTTTGTCCTCACAAGTTTCCATCTCCTCCAGGCAGTTATTGGAGGAGTCTGGCTTGGGGACCGCTGTCTCCTGGTGCAGGGAAGGAGTGAGAGGGAGGACAGTGTGGGGAGTCGGCGTAGCACGGCATTCCACTCCATCTCCAAGCCACAGTGGTCTGGGGTGTTGCAGAGTGTTCTGGATTTTAAAGCTCCAGACAGGGCTCTTATCAAATGTGTGCTCAGGTGGAGTCACCGGCCCGGAAAGTTAGAAAGGAGATGGCAACTAAACCAAAGGGTGGTGCCCTAAAATTATAAGCAGGTACTGGGAGTTGAGTTATGTGTCTGTCTTGCTAGTGATTTGGAAACAAATAACTATCCAGATAATTTTCCCACTCCCCACACTCTACCTAGCTTTAAGATACTAGGTCCTTATGTTCTCCCTCATATGCGGACATTAGATCAAGGGCAAACACAACAAGGGGATTGGACTTTGAGCACATGATAAAAGCGCGAGCACACAAGGAAGGGGTGAGGATAGGTAAGACACCTAAAAAACTAGCTAGAATTTGTTGCCCTTAACGCAGAGAAACTAAAGCAGATACTTTAAAAGCAACTGAGGCCAATAGGAAAAGGGGAACAGGTACTAGAGAAAAGGTTAGATCAAAAAGAATTAACCTAGAAGGTAACACCCACGCACAGGAAATCAATGTGAGTCAACTCCCTGTATAGCTATCCTTATCTCAACCAGCAAAAACCCTTGGTCCTTCCTATTATTGCTTATACTCTCTCTACAACAAAATTAGAAATAAGGGCAAAATAGTTTCTGCTGGGTATTGAAGGGGGGGAGAGGGAGGGGGCGGAGTGGGTGGTAAGGGAGGGAGTGGGGGCAGGGGGGAGAAATGAACCAAGCCTTGTATGCACATATGAATAATAAAAGAAAAAGGAAAAAAAATATGATACTAGGTCTTCTAGAGGCCCCAGAAAGAGAAAGAAACCTAAGGTCTATGTTGAGTGAACCTAAATCTGTAGGGACCAGCATCAGGAATTTGGGAGGGGGGATACTATCCACAAAGAGAGGAAAGGGCCTCAAATGGGAAGGTACATGGGTGAGATAAAGCCAGCTTCAAGATGGGTGCCAGTTAGGGAGATGGGGTACAATCCTGCCCTTCTTAGCAGCCCTCTTAATCCCATAACACTTGACTTCTACCACGTGTCCTTAGTGTGCTCTTCTCCTCCTGATGAAATGCCTATGGCAGTGAGATGAGGCATCTTTCTTACCAAAGAAGCTCTCGGCTTCCCTTCAGACATGGAGTCACCAGGCACCAACTTGGAGAAGGTGGGACAACTTTCTCCTGCCCCCTGGGCTTCCATCACCTCCCTGTCCTCTGTTGCCATCCAGAAGCCCACAGTGCTGGCAACAGGGGCCAGAGGACATCTTTTGAGGCAATAACACTTGGCCTCACTGGGTTTTACAGCCTGGCCACATCATAATCCCTTGTCCTCATAATAAATCACATTCTATCAGTTGCTAGGGCCCCTTTGGTAGAGAGTGTGACACCTTTGAGGTGCCATTATTAAGAACTGCAGGATGGACCTTTCTTGCCCCCTAAGGACTGCTTTGAAAACTAGAATCCCACCACTTGATATTCAGAATCCTACCATATGAAATTCATTCCCTTGGGTTCATCTTTTAAACACAGATTACATTGGGGTGAGTCACAATTAGCTTCATAAATTCGTTTATGGACTGAGTCTGGTTCCCCTATATCCATTCCCATGTTGAAGTGCAAAATCCCAGTACCTCATTGACTTTATTTGGAGATAGGTTCTTTACAGAAGTGATTAATAGAATTAGGGTGGTTCCTAATTCAATATGTCTGGTGTCCTTATAAGAAGAGAAAATTTGAACACTGACATGTATAGAGGGAATTTGTAGAAATAAGAGAAGCTTGGCATTGGGTTCTCTGGAGAAACAAAATACATAGGAGATATATAAAATGAGAGACATTAGAAGATTTGACTTAAGAAATTATGGAGACTGAGAAGTTCCACAATCTCGGTCTGCAAACCGGTCACCCAAGAAAACTGGTGGTGTAAATTCAAGTTTGAATCCAAAGGTCTGAGAACTAGGAGTACCAATGGTGTAAGCCCCAGTCCAAGGGCAGAAGACCCATCAATCAGTGTATGTAGTTGGGCAGAAAGAGTAAATTCAGCCTTCCTCTGCTTTTTGTTTTATTTGAGACTTCAGTGGACTGGATGAGGTCCACTTTTCTTAGTTCATTAATTCAAAAGCTAATGTCTTCTAGAAACAAATTCAAAGATATACTCAGGTATAATTGCTTAACCAGATTACTGGGCATCCTGTGGCCCAGTCAATGTGACAAAACCATCACACCTCTCTCACCACTCTCTGAAGGACCCAACCTTGCTGATACTTAGATCTCAATGTCTAGCCTCCAGATTTGTGAAAATATAAATATCTGCTGATTAAACCATCCAGCTTGGAGTACTTTGTTATTTATATATATATATAACAAACTAATACACCAGCAAACTAATACAGCCTGTGTTAGTCATATGTACTGATGGGTAGGCTGAATTAAGGATAGGTGACAAAGAGATTGGGGGGTTGGGAAAATTAGCTTTGTTGTCTTTAGTTTTATGAAAACTACAATGAAACATTTTTGGCAGGGTCACATTAGTGAAGGAGAAAGGGTTATGTTTCAGTTCTAACTTTGCTACCCTTCCAGCTGTGTGACCAAAGGAAGTTATTTTGCCAGTCTGATGCTCAGTGCCCTCATTTATGAGTGGTAATAATGACTTAGCCATCTCCCTACATTTTAGTACTGATGTGCCAATAAGATGGTGGGTTCAGCCTTGTCCATAAAGGGTCTAAGCAAGTGATAATCACTTTCATTATTGCTACAAAGAGTGGGTTCGTCATGAAAAGAAGACTGCTCAAAATTTGCGTTTTGTCCTTCTAGTAGATCTTTAACTGAACCATGGCTCTCCTCTCCTGGCTTTATGGTAGTACCACATGAACTTTCTCACAGCTGTTGTGTGTGATGTCTGTCCTACCTCAAGCACTAGGAATAGGATTGCCAGATACATACAGGGTACCCAGTTGAATTTGAATTTTAGGTAAATAATTTTTAGTATAAATATGTTTAAAAATGTACAGGATGCTTTCTACTAAAAATGTTCATTGTTTATCTGAAGTTCAAATTTAAATTGGCATCTTGTATTTTTATTTGTTAAATCTGGTGGTCTTATCTAGGAGTGACCTGTCCCAAAACTGAAGAACAGGGTGTGTCCTGCTACAAGTTACTCCATATTGTGTAGAACAGTAACTTTTAGTTGGTACATTGCCCTGAGTGTCTCCATTTTATAAAACAGCATTTTGCTTCATTTTGAGTGCAAATGCTGAGGCAGAGTGATTCTACACCATTTTTCCACAAACCATGAGGTAAACTGATAAAAAAAAACCTTATTTACACAAAATATTATCACCTATGAACATATCAAATTAAATCAGGGACACAAGGGCATAGCAAAACCATACTGGAAAAACTAGGCCCATGAGCTTATTGAACACACAAAAGAATGATGCAGCCCCTTCACCTGGATCATAAAGGAGGAACACCTAACACACACTGACTTGTCATCAGACTATCTGTTGCATGCATCAAGGATCCATAGGTGATGAACTCCCAACTCTGTCCCCAGGGCTTCTATTGAGTTCATTACGTTAAAATCTAACTATCTGCAATGACTCTCTTTGCATGTATATCAGCTTTCTTCTTTTGTCTTCAGTAAGGCTTCTTTGAGCCACACAGCTGTTTTAATCCTTTCTTAGACATTGTGTAACCTATATATCATGTGAAGTGTAATGTGTGATCTGAGAGTTAATATTAGTAATTAAGATTGGAATAAAAGCACCTGTGATTGCAAATGGTTCTGGGGCTATCAAGTGAACTCAGTAGTACTTGGCAAATTTGATATAGCTTGTGAATTTGTTACTCAATAAATTCTGACATTGTGGAAAGACAAGCATTTTTTGTCCATGTTTCTGACAAAGTTTGTTCATGTCAGAAACAATTATATATAGCCAAATCTTTTGCTGTTAAAGCCCAGCAAGTACAGACATGTACAGTAAGTGCTAAGGGTAGCTGCATCAGCTATATACCAAATAACTATAAAATCTCAATGGCATACAATAATACTGATGTCTAACAACTGGCTGACATAGGACTCAGGTTGGACTCAGTTGGAAGCTTGACGGAATAGCTTTGGTTCATGTGTCTCTCATCCTCTTCTTGGGAATAGTGGGCTAGCCTGGACATGCTATTTTAATGGCCATGGAAGAAGCAAAAGAGACTTTGGAACTGGCACACCATTACTTTTGTCTTATATTCTTGACCAAAACTAGTTATGTGGCCAAACCCAAGATTAAAGGATGGGGAAGGATTCAAGAGTTGAGTGATGATGTTATTGGAAGAGCCTGGGTAAGTTTGGTGGAGGAGATGACATGAAAGGTGGGTGGGATTTGAATAGGAAGAAAGGATCACCATGGACAAAGTCTCAGTTGATCATCATTATCCATTTGTTTCCTCATTTCTACTCTCTGCCCTTCTCCACCCTGTCCATTCTCTAGGAGGCTGACTCCATGAAACTACATTAATTCATTAAGGAAAGCAACTTACTCCAAAGCAAAACAGAAACTAGTACTCATTCCCCATTCCCCAAGATAGGATGATCATAAGCCTGCCCTTTAGGGAGTGCCCCAGGAAGTTGGGGAGACAGGTTTCATGAGCTTTGGGTTGGTTTGTCACTCATGACAGCATGAAAAGAGCCTCTGCCTCCTCCACTGACGTAGAGAAAATGATTGTGTAACAAGGCCAGGGGGGAACAAGAGAGACAGAATTACATGGAGCCTGGCAACAAGGACTTGGGATGCTTGGCCTCACAGGGACTGTGCTGGATTCAGGGTGGTGCTGGAGACCAGCAGCCCCTTTACATGTGTTTTTCCATTGCTATGACTTGAATGATTTGGGGGTTTCTGTCTCTGTGTCTTCACATTGCTCACCATGGTCCTTCCTCATTTTCCCCCCATCTCATAGCTTCAGGGTACAAAAAGTTTCTGCTTTCTCCAAATTTCAGCTTACTTATAACTTCAGCCTCTAGTGGTCTTTCATGGCCCTGACACATGGCTTCTTTCCATGTCTTTGTGTTGTTTGTCTTGATTCATTTTTTATTTCCTAGTAGTTTTCCAAGGGCAAGAATAAGAATGACCTGGCTTATTGGTATAAGTACAGAGCTTCTCATTTTAACTACTGGGCATCCTATAGAAGGTACCCATTCCAATTCTGTCCCTGGTGAAGAAATGGAAGGATGGAGAGGCCAGGGTCATACACTACAGTAGCCTCAGGTGTCCAGCAGTAGGAACTGCAGGTGGGTCAGTTGCCCTTAGAAGGGGCAGTGGGAGTATAGCAGAAATCGTGTTGAAGAATAGAAGACACATTCTTAGGGAACTGCATTAATTGGAGGTTTGGCAAATAACCAATGAGAGACTTATGTGTTAGCACAGCACTCATAAGCTTTCTTGTGCATTAGCTCATTTGATTCTCAGGAAGCCCTTGTGAGGCAATGTAAAGCAGGTACAATTACTGCTGCCTAATAACCAGGGAACTTGAGTCATGCAGAGACATGAGGTGATTTATGTCTGAGTGCAAAGGCTGTTAGAGTTGAATGAAAACCAGAATGTAGGTTTCCCATTTCCTGTTCCTGCGTCTTCAAACTAGACAATCAAGATGGTCTTTGCGGCTCCAACTCTAAGACATGAGATAGTTTTCTGCCTCATAAAGAGAAAAGTTGGCATACACATATAGGTCTATTAAAGCATTATTTATAACAGCAAGAGACTGAGAGCAACTTAAATTCTACCAGAAAGGAACAGGTTAAGTAATTAGTACAGTATCCAGATCAAGAATACTAAGCAGGTGTTAAAAAGGATGAGATTAAGTCAACAAGAAAAAAGAATAGTGTAGCTGCATCAGTGCACATATCTTGTTCTCAAAGCATATTTGGAAAAGTGACAACTACTATTTGTATTAAAGTATGAAAATATACCCATATATGTCTGGAATACATCTGGAAAGACACATAAGAAACTGGTTCATGATGGCTGCCTCTGAAGCAAGGGAACTGAGGGTTTGGGAGCTCAAAGTGGGAGGAAGACTTAGTCTTAACTGTATGCCATTTTGTACTCTGACTTTTAAAAAGTTTATATATTATAATCTCAGTTAAAAATTTAAAAGTGTTGGGAGGAGAGCTTTGCTCAGCACAGGCTGGTTACTATGTGAGATTTGTTCAAGTTGAAGACAACAGCTGTCTCACATCGAACTTGC